CTGGAGATCCTTTTGTCTTTAAGCCATGATGTCAGGTCCAGGCAGACTGCAGTGACAGATGAGAGGAGATTAATGTCCTGCCAGGAGACAGCTTTAAGATTTCACACCACCACATGTCCTCTTCAAAGAATGAGAGAGGCTACTGGTATCCTTTAGCTCACTCAATAACCACTCTGAGAAGGCATCCCTTCAGTTAATATGTACCTTAGGACAACAAGCATGACATGGAACTATTCCAACCAACCTATAAATCAACACCAATTAAAGCAAATTTTACAGCATAGTTCTCTGCTGAGAAAGTTATGTGCTAAATGCTTTCAAAATTATTAAATGCTTTCAAAATTATTAAATACTTTCAAAATTATAAGTGGCTTACTTTGTACCTTTACGTTTTCCTACACAGTGGACCAAATACAGCCACCACACATAAGAACTTGCAAGTGCTGCCATAACTGACACTGCTTTCTTTGCACCAAGGGTTGAGTTTGGGCCAGTTATCTCCATACAATAGTTTCATTTAATGAGAAAGACATGACCCAGCTTTCAGACGAAACAAGTAAGTGGGAAATTCCCAGCCTTGTTGCCATAGTTACTTGAAACCTACTGTTAAAGAAGGTGGGAAGAGAGGGAGGAGAAAAAGTAGGAAAAGAAGGCAGCAATATCATGGTCAGGGTTAGGCCGTGTGATAGAGAGAGGCAATGATCTTGAAGGAGCAGGACCTCAGTGATGACAGTCAGAGCAGGTTATCCAGGAAGCTGATATTTCTATCTTCTGGCTGCTATTGGGCTTATTATATGGACAATGGTTATTTACAAGTGGTTACCACAGTGACTAAACTCAATGTACTAGTAGGTATTAGATCAGCAAAAGCAAAAAGGGATTGGGTGGGGAGAGACAATTTATTTAATAAAGAAATTACCTCCTTTTAGAACACGAGACTGCTTGCTTTTCCATTTTTCAGAGAGAGTGAAACTTGCAGCAATGTCTAGTTCAATCAGAATAGACTTTTTAGTCTCTGCATAAATTGACAGCAGAAATACTCCAGCTCCATAGAAGCAGAACTGCAGACATACTGCATCAGGCAGTTAGCACTATTCTTCCCCAATTACAAAGTGGATCGACATATCTTGTAAGACACAGGCTGAAAACCTAAGAGCTAGTAACTGCTTATGTCCTGTATTACCATTTAATACTGTTGGTAGTCTGTCACATTAGCATGAAGAAACACTATATTCATAAACGGCTTTGTGCTAAGCCCACAAATGAACATATCGCTCTGGTAGTTTTTTTGTTTTTATTACTCATCTCTATTTCATCTTTTTGACTCTCTTCACATTCTTAAAACTGGCATGTAAAGCGATAACATGTCTGCACCTGTAGCAATGTAATACAGGTTCATGTACAAAGGAAACACACACAATTGAAGTATATACATTGGATAATTTGCTGCTCAATGCATTAGTTGGACTATAATACAATTTGCATCAGCATTCATATGAGAACCCAGGGAAGGCAATGGAGTACTTGAAAGACTGGTCTGTCTGAATCTAGGATTGTAGTTTATGAACACTTCACTTCCATGTCAAAACCTGTCTTGGTCCCAAGGAGAAAACTCCCTTTTTTGCTGCCTTCTCTCAGTCTGTAAACTTACTGAGACTTTTTTTCCCCCAGTTCTCTGCCCCACTGTGCTTTGTATAGAGAACAAAAGATAACCCTCAATGCTATGGAGAGCTACATTTTACTAAGAATGTGGTTTCTCCAAGAGCTGGCAGGCTGTATTTGCAGTACCCTGGCTAAGAGTCTACTGCTGGGTTTAGCCTCACTTCATACAGAACTCATAGAAACAACACAAGATAAAAATAGAAGATACCATACTTAGCAGTATTAACTGAGATGATTGTAAAGCGTGAGGCAGTTGTGGGAGGTTGAACAAAATTCACTATCAGTAGGTGTTATTACACTCATTAAGAAAGCCTTGTAAGTAATTTCTTCTTTTCTGACCCAACAATTACGGTTATTGCTTTCTGTCCATTAATTACCACACTACCAAATGACCTCCACATTTGAATCATAAATCAGCAAGCTTCCAGATTAAGGACACTTAATCCTGCAACAGCAGAAGAGATTGTGAGTTAGACTATAATTTACTATGGCATTAAGGTAAGTCTCCCCTTGAAAAAGCGAGTCAAGAGATCTCAAGCTCAAACTGGAAAGGGGAAAAGAGACTGTGAGCTTAGCTGGTACTGTCTCCCACTTGAATTCCTAAGGGTGTTGCATTCCTTCCCAGCAGTCTAGCAGCACTTGCTCAGAAAGGTGAGAAATTCTTTTCTGTCTGAAAACATGAAAGAAGACAGCAGCTGTTGCTGCAGCAGTACCCGCTGCAGCAAGAGGGAAAGGCCGTGTGGCGCCTAGTCTTGCTGTGATGGAACAGAAGCAGTAAACACAGTGCCTGGGATCAGAGCAGCACAGGCTTCTAGTGGCAGGACATATCCTACAGTTGAAAAGTTATTCATATTAAAGCAAGCTGTGAAATTAAAACCAAATAGGTATTCCAGAATAATACCAAGTAGAGACAAGCCCTATAATCTTGTAAATCAAATCAAAATACTAAACTCTTTGGATTATTATTAATCAGTGAAGCTGGCATAGCCCCATTCTTTCATCTAATGCAACCTGAGCAGGCTGGGGAAGGAAAGATTAAAAAAAGGAAGCCATTAGCTCTATTAAGTTATTTAGACTCAAGAATATAAAATCCCCATGGTCTCTTTAAAGTGTTCTTCTCTTTTTTGATTATCCCAAGCAGCACCAGCCAAAAATGGCCATATACCAGTATGTTTCAATGTTTTCACAGAATCACAGAATATTCAGAGTTGGAAGAGACCTATGAGGATCTCTGAGTCCAATTCCTGGCCCTGCACATGACATCTCTGAGAATCACACCATGTGCCTGAGAGCATTGGCCAAATGCCCCTTGAACTCTATTGGGCTTGGTGACCACTTCCCTGGAGAGCTGTTCCAGTGCCCAACCACCCTCTGGGTGAAGAGCCATCTTCTGATATCTAACTTAAACCTACTCTGACACAGCTTCAGGCCATTCCTTTGGGTCCTGTCACTGTCTGCCAGAGAGCAGGTCAGTGCTTGCACCTCTGCTTGACCTCATAAGGAAGTTGTATACAGTGATGAGGCCTCTCCTCAGTCTCTTCTCCAGGCTGAACAAACCAAGTGACCTCAGCTGCTCCTGATACAGGTTCCCCTCAAGGACCTTCACCACCTTCGTTGCACCCCTTCGGATGCTCTCTAATAGCTTTATATCCTTTTTGTGTTGTGGTGCCACAAACTGCACACAATATTCAAGGTGAGGCTGCATCAGCACAGAGTGGAGCAGGACAATCACCTCTCTTGACTGGCTGGCACCTTGCCTGATGCACCTCAGGACACAGTTGGCCCTCCTGGCTGTCAGGGCACACTGTGACTTATATTCAACTTGCCATTGACAAGGACCCACAGGTCCTTTTCCACAGCACTACTTTCCAGCATCTGTTTTTGTGCCTGGAGAGAAAGGTGCAGATTAATCATACAAGTATTTATTGCAGTAATTCCTCATTTCACTTCCTTAATGTGCCCCCTTGTTCCCAGCACCAATATTTAAGCAAATAAATGGTATGTAAATAGCTTGATAAATATTGAAGGACACAGGTCACAAGCCACCTGGTGGCACTCAGCCCATATAAATTGTTTTTGTCACAAGGCAGACTGACAGGTTGTGGAAATCTAGCCCTGGCCCAATTCTCCATCCCAGATAGGGCCCTGTCTTTTCAAGTAGTATGAAAAATGCTTTTCTGCAATCAATCCCCTTTTTTAAAGCCTGTATGGGCTATAGGAAGCATCACTGGCTTAAAACCTAATCAAAGCAAGAGCCTGCTTTCCACCTGCAATTCACTCTTGCACTAGTCCAGAAGGAATGCGAGCCTTGTCACAGTGAATGGACAGGGGGAAGAAAGCAAAGAGAAAGGTAGAAGCAAACACGAGAGAAAGTAGAGTGCAGCCACCAGAAAAATGAGAGAAGCAGCTGGATAGGGAAGTGAAAACAATCAGGAGCTAATGAACAGTGATCAAAGTACCAGGTGAGAGTAAAGCATACCATTTACCAAGCTCTGCCCAAGATCATCCCAACACACTACATTTCATACCTATGAAGTTCGAACACACCTGTAACTTATTTTCTCTCCAGAAATAATACAACAATCTATAAGGTGCCAAAAAATGAGTTATCCTTATGTGCTTGTGTCTCCCTACTCATTTATACAGAAGTCTAATGCTGCTTCTATTCCAGGAGATAGGGAGGGCACTGATGCACAGGCAGTCCCACCTGAATACAAGGAAGAACTTACTGTGCGAGTCACTGTGCACTGGAACAGCTTGCCCAGAGAGGTCATGGATTCTCCCACACTGGAAATATTCAAGAACTGTCTGGATTGCAACGCTGTGCAATGTGCTCTAGGATGATCCTTCCAACCTGACCAATTCTGTGAGGGAGAGAAGACTACTTTTGTGACAAGACAACAGTACTGAAAGGGCACCTTTATGCACTAACTTTTCTAAAACAGCAAGTAGCTGTCATTACTAGTTTTACCCATCCAACAGACATGCCCTGTAAGCCTCTTTCTTGTATGCCTGTTAAATCTGGCCATCATGCAACTGGGAACACAGTAGAATTAGTGCAAGCCTTAATTACTTATTTAGCTGCATAGCGAGAGCTCTAAATTTAACCCTGCCTATCACAGCAGGAGTCTAAGTCAAGTACCCACATCCTCTTTTCCTTGCTAGGGGGAAGAAGTACTAGATAGTAGGATCCATCAGAGGACACTTACCTAAACTCAGTACATACCATTTACTTTTTCAGCCTGTTTTTGCTTCATGCAAACAGTAATAAAATGACACTCCATACTAAAATCTCATTTTAGGACCTAGTATCATAACAGGAAAACCAAAACTTTTCAAAGTGTTCAAGAGATTTATTGCCATTTGGAACATGTTTATTGTTCAAAACCACGGCACTGAAATAAAATCCATCGCATACATTCTTACATTCTTTGTCATATTAATCTTTACAGCACTGTAACTTTCAGGCAGGCCACGCAGGAAAACCACGCTTGCATTGAAGTCAAAACTACTGAAAGGCACTTTGTGTCCTTCAGATCTTAAGACTACAAACAAGTTTTTGCCCATGTAAGGATTACATACACCTAGAACAACTCAAACAGTAGGAAAAAAAATATTCATTTAGAACTTCTTTGAGAACTTTGTTGCCTTCCTTCATTCAGTGCTATGCTTTTGTTTTTCCAAGCCTTCTTTAAATAATGTGCGACTTAAAAATGTACGTTAATGATGAAGTCTCTTTACTGAGACAAGGCATGCAGTAATGGAAGAGGGATGGCTGGTCACTTCCAGGCTGCCTATCTACACATTTGTTCTTGTAGATCAGCAAGCCACTGCTTAAATAAAAAAAAAGAAAAAAAGACAAGAATAGGAATGAATCCACTCAAGTTAAATGGCTTTTAAGAATATGTTAATACATAGAATAATGATACCACCTACAGTTCTGTTTACTGACCTCTGTTCATGTTGATTTGAAAACATGTTGGTTTTGTCAAACCACAATGGGCCATTTTTGTGGGCTGTTAGATAAGAAATGTTGCTTGTTACTTGGGTGACTAACTTTTCATTAAAAGGGTAGTTATTATGGACCTGTAAGGCAGCAAGACTTTAAATGTAATGGTTTACATTGCTGAGTAGTACTTTTTAAAAGGCAAGATAAAAAAGTGAGTAGAAGAATTCTTGATGGGGTCATATTCATAACAGGTGGGGTTTTTATCTCCACTGTAATTGTCAGAGCAACTGTAGATGGCAAGTCTTCCTCAGTTGTAATTCAGGCTGAATACATTCCCTGGCATATTTCAAGTTAGATATTTAGTTCTTTTTCTCCATCCTGCCAAGAGAAGAACAGCTTTTGTAAGAGTGGGTACTGACCTACAATTGCTATGAAGAAAATCTGAACTTATGGTAGAACTTTTGGAATGAAGGACATTGGCCAGTTAGTTATGCAAATGCAACTCTGCTTGCAGCTTTGCTCAGTCTCATTTTTTAACATTTTTAGTTCAGGAGGTTTCATTCTCCCATTGCTCCACATAAATTTCTAGGAGCAGCGAGAGAAAAGTCATAATTCTGACCCATCAGGATTGCCTGGGGCAGCATCTGCACTAGTTGCTACACAGTGAGGGTATGAGACTGCTTGCAGTCTGTTCTCCAGTCACTCTCAGTTGGATCTACCTCACATACATAATGGTGAGCTATGAGAGGTTCTGCTCACTTCTCTTTCAGACATACAACTCCTTCACAGTTTTATGGATGTTTCCATCTCAGGAGTTAGTTACTGCGATGGACACATGCAGAGTAATTAACATAATACATGAAACACCCCCCAAAATAGCCAGCAGCTGCTGAAAGTCCTGTCTACACCCACCCATGCCCTTTCCTGCCTTTCCTATGTGCACACCTCAGAAGCTTCAAAGGAGGAGCAAGGTAACAGGTTCGGCCTACTGAGAGGCTTGTTAATAGGTTTGCAAAAGGTAATGAAGTTAAAACAAGTTCAGAAACTATGCAGAGGTTTGCACCACAGGTAAAACCACTAACAAGTATTCCAGGAATGATCAGTTTATGACTTCCCCATTTTAAAGTGTGTCTTGCCTGTATTTGATCAGTCGTCCTCCTTGAATAAGTTGTGCAACTTCATTGGTCAAGTGGCATGCAAAAAGAAGCCAGTTCCTTGGCTGCACTTTGTAGGCGAATCTCATGAAAGTCAAGGAGTAACAACACAGTGCTGCAAAAGATGATGGAGATTGATAACAGATTGTTAATAGCTGCATTTTGTTGAGGCATCATTTTCCTACCAGTGGAATGTAATGACAAGTAGAACATTTCTTGCTGCTTTTGAGTTTTGCAACAGTCCTACAAACATGTCCACTTTGAGGATCCAATGCAAGAGAACACAACAGTGCTCATTTCTGCTACAAAAGAAAATCTACAGGGCTGCAGCTTCCCCTAAACATTCATTTTGCTCATACACTATCCAGTCATGCAACTGAAGTCTAAGTTTATACCTAAACTATCCCAGCCAGAGAATAAGAGTTAATCCCAATGAGACATGGCCTGTCCAATACAATTATTCTGACCATTTCTAAGACAGTATTTTTAAACATACTAATTACTTAAATATAGTTCTTGATGGGAACATTTCAAAATGGATTTTAAGAGGTTTCCCTCCCCAGGAAATCATGAACATTCAGAAGCATGAAGTTTTGTTACCTGCTTTCCAGAAAAATCAGAAATTATTTTAATCTACCCTCCTATCATAATTGCATAATTGCATTTAAATACAGGAATTACAACCCAAGAATTCACTAGTTTAGCAACACTGACAGGCTTGAAGAAAAAAATCCCAAACAATGGGGAAACTAATTGTTAAAGAAAAACCCAGCTTTTTTAAAGGTAAAAAATAGAGATAAAAAAGATTATTTGTGTACGCACACCACACTACATACACTTGCAAAAATTAAACAAGTGTCTCAGCTTTGCTGAGCTGGGTAGTTGCCACCAAAACACTATTTGCAAAATCCTTTCACTATACTGGGGATTATTTGAACTAGTCTTCTGTCTCAAGGAAGTTGCTTAAGAAACTGAATTACTCTAAGTAGAGCTTAATGATGATGAGGCCATAAATTTCCTTAAGCCAAAGGTATTTTGCTTGTGGGAAGAGGAATTATTCAGAATTAAGTTATTAAGTGAGTTAAGGAAGAGACATAATGCCAAAGTTAAGCTAATAAATTAAAGCTACCAGGTTTCTGACTCTTGAAAAAATTTGAACATAAAATAGACATCTCTGCAAAAGCTATATGTGTTCCAAACATTGCTTATGCATTTAAAAATGATTTCTCATTTAAAAATAATCTCTAATGAAGAGTCACACTAGCCTCTCATAGGCAACTCTTTGCAAGGAGTTAAAATCTCCTTAGCTGCTTCTTGCACCCTGCTGACCAGGCATTACCATTTCTTCACTTTGTCAGAGCTGATAAATATTTAAGTCTCACACTAACCACAAAGCATCACTGTTCTGCATAAGAGAATAAAATTGGCTAAAGAGATGCATTTTGAGCAAGTGTGTGCACTAGTATAAGATACCAAAAGTATTACACTTTAGAGACAGTCTGGTGAGCAAAAGTGCTAAGGCTCAAGACCTGCCTGCCTCTCCCCCTCAAATTACTGGAAAGCTCTCCAAAGAGCTCTGCAATTTTTCAGTACCTCGATTTTTAAGTGGCCTCTGAAGTTATATATAACAAGTTATTTGATATCTACATCTGCTTTGATCACGAGTTTATGGACAACTAATAATATATCGAAAGACAGAAACTGTGTTCTGCCACCAGTTTACTAACAAGAGGTTAGTCTCAGGTCCTACCAAATGTCATTCGTCCACTAATGATTTCTGGCGATTTCTTCATGTCATTAAAAGCAGCAACAGGAAGTCCCCAGTTGGCAACTGGCCCCCAAAAGTGCTGTAAAGAGGGAAAAGGACAATAAAGTTACACAGAAACAAAGACCTCCTGCAGTATTCTTATAGTTTTCCTTACCCACACAAAGCTACAGAGGACAGGGTTATGGGTAAAATTCCAAGGTAAGACAGGGACTACTTTTGATGTCAGAGAGAAAAACTAAACCCTTCTTTAAGCATGATCTAGTCTTCCCAGGATCTAGGGAAGGAAAAGGAACCCGGTCTGAATCTTCTTGCAGACTGAAGAGAAACTACCATAAAGCCATTGAAGTGGCACTTTGTGTAATTATGACTCAGCAGTCATTAAGCAATTTGATTGGTATCATCATACAATAACCTCAGATTTACAGCTCACTCCTGTGCAGAGAATTAGCCTTTGTCTTTCAGATAAGACTCCTCAAAACATGATGAAAAACACAAGGACTTGCTGAAATTAAGAGCTGGAACTGTTTTCATGTTACGCTGAGGATGAAGAAATGCTCAGCAAGCATCTTATGAGTGCCAACACCCTTTCTTTGAAAGACCAGGACTACGCAACCAAACCAAACTGCTACCCTGAGCTTCATCTGCGATTGCTGAAATAATTTAGTGAGTACTTAGTGATGTCAGAGTAGAGCAGCTAGCTACAGGTGTGCACACAGATAGGAAAAACAGACAAGAAGTGAAAAGAATCAAGCCAGAACAACTGACAAGAGCTCAGTTTGATGGGTATTATCTACAGGACTCTAAACTGAGAAAAATAGTGTTGTAAGTCCAATTTCCATTACTCTGGAGTAACAAGGCTTTGCTAGAATTCTTTCCACAGAAGGTGCAGGCAATATTTCCATCAGCTTCTTCTAATGTGAAAGTAAGGATGCCCAAAAGTAACTTGGCCAGATATGGCAAGAGATGGACCTTGCACGCAAAAGCTTTGCAGATACCAACAATATCCATTCTTTTGACACTTTCTCTAACTGTAACATGTTCAGTGACTCAGAATTCTCAGGTAATATTTAAATATCTTGCAATTTTAATTCCAAGATACTCTTGACAGTCTGGATACTAGCTTGCAACACTACAGTAACATTAAAATGCTTCCTGCAGATTTGGGTTGCAATACAAGAGACAATTGGAAAAAAAAGTGAGTTTAAGTAGCACACACTGTTTTGATAGTTCAACCTTACTGCACTGTTTGCATATTGCACTATTTCTGCAAGTGTCTACAGAACATGCAATTATCCAAACTCAGATTTGTAACAACACTGTTCCAAAGAATGCAATAAAGGCATTTGTTTACTATATTCCTACTGATTGGAAAATTGACTTCTGTAATGGTTCAAGTCTCTCAAGCACATCAGAGGTAACAAGGCATAACTGAGAAGAGCTGCATGGCTACATGGCATTTACACTGTACAGCTATGTGTACCTGTAATACCACACAATACAGGTAGCAATAGAACAAGAAGATTCAGAGAAAATGAAGTTAGCAGGTTATAACATGTTGATTTAGAAGCTCTAATAGCCAATTAAATAGTTTTAAAGGACAATAAGAGGATCAAAAACAACTAGTCATGACTATGCTTATTTGCACAGAGAGACACCAAGACAACTTGTGTTAGCATCACTACACCAAAGCAGACTGCAAATGGTAACTGGTGAGGCACTACATGTACTTGGTGAGGTTTTTATAGTCATTTCAGGAGTCTCATTTGAACAATTGTAGTTTCAGAAAAATAAGCTTGATTTTTTTTAATCTATGAAACATTTACAGCTATAAGAACCTTTGTGATGACTTCTGTTTTCAAAAGTAAATTAAATCAACTTGGCATTTTTACTTAACAAACTGCCATTAGAACATGGCCAAATAATAAACTATAGACTACGGACCACTCAAGTTCAGGCTGCACAAGCTGAAGAATCATCAGCTCACATCCCAGAAGTGCTGCAGCAGTAGCTTTCCTCTGTTGACCAGGGAGTTAGATTTATAACCATTTCACGTAAGATAGCTATCTGGTTTTAAGTGCCTTCAAGCAGGCAGGCAGCCCTTTGAAGTTTCTGTACTTTAGAATTAAACTACATCTATAGTTTGTCTCCGGTCTATGTAGAAGAGCAAGTCTTCCATAACATTATGATTCACAGTACAACAGGCATAAAATACCCACTCCCAGCTTCAGGACCAAACTGAAAAGCTAAAGGACACAAGAGTCTCCAGTGAGAGTTATACAGTACATTTCTTGTCTGGCATAAAGGCCACTAAAGATAAGCCAAGTAGTTTGGTTATGCACCAATATTGTTGCTATGCAGACTGATCTGATCTCCTTAGCAAACAGTATGGAAAAAATGAAGCCCCTTTAATTGAGGGCATTCTCAAGGAGTTAACATTTGGTCACCTTAACCTCACACTTGCAATTAAATATACCAAGTACATCTCTCCTGGAGGCTTGCAGTATGCTTTTTAGGTGCAGACAAGGTCATAACAGTGCTGGGGCAAAAAGACAGCAAGTTACTGAAGTCAGGGAGAACACGAAACCAGAAATCCCCTCTCTTTTCTTACCGTACTGTTCAAGTGGGCCATCATTGTTTTCCATTCAAAAAGCACATGGAAGGAAGAAGAAAATAACCCATTAGTTTGTTTCATAATCTACATAGAGAGAAGTATACCACAAATAGAAGACGGGCAGGAGTCAGGAAGCTGCCATGGTATTAACTTTGATTAATGTATGAGTATTTAAAAAATCCCATTTCCCTCAGGAGCTGTCATTGTGACAAATGTTTGCTGCTCTCTTTTTCCTAGCAAGGTAAAATCCCATTATGGTCTGTGGAAGGCATTAAACCCTTCAAAGCAACCAAGATCCCACCCCAACTACTTTAAAAGTATGCCAAAAGCCATCAAGCTTTGTCATGACAAAGCTATACAGCTAAAATTCCTCTGTGGAAGCTTTGAAGTCACTTGGAATTGTTCATATACCTATCTAAATAGGTCAAACCAAAGATTGCAAGAGATCTTACTGTCAGTAAGTTTGGGCTGACTGTGGCTGCACCAAACGTGAGCTATAACACATTCAGTGATCTAACATGCAATTACACTTTGGTCATGTATGGGGTTAATTTATGTGATCACCTAGGCAGCAATTTATGTAATAACTTAATGATCTGTGTGTGAAAGCTAGAATACAGCATATATTTAACACTTTGCTACTAGACCTTGTAAAATGCTTCAGAACTTTTAAACACCTTCTTTCTAACAAAGACACTGATAGGACTCAGTTCTGAATTATGACAGAGAAGAAATCAGCTAACAGATAGGCTCATAGAAAACCTAGTGCTGCCCCAAGCTGCAGAACACTGATTAACATTTCCTCAGAGCGCTGGTTTATAAATAGCTTTGGTAAGGGAACAGTCAGGTTTACTTAGGAAAGTGCACTGGATGTGCATTTCTAAGTCTTTGTTACAAGCCACAGGTGGCTTTGAAGTGCTTTATTAGAGTGCCCTTGGCTTGTCTAACCACTTGCTTTTTGTTTTCTTATTGATCTGCAGTAACTGTTAATTGAAGTTCACAAGACAAGTGCAAACAAATATTTTCATAAAGCCTTAACTAAACTAGTTCAGATGTGTCACCTGGCACAATGCTTTGTGCCAACAGAAGTCAGCCTTCATTTTTAAAGTGTAAGTTGTTTTCAGGGAGGTGAAAGCCTAAAATAGAATCATACTGACACTATTTTAATAGAGTAGGCAGCCCTGGCCAAGGTCTTGCAAGGTTATCCTCACAATCACATGGGACTGGAATTATTCGTCCTCCTAGAAGAGGGCAAATCAGGGGCATGTAGATGCTTCCAGATGTAGGCATCCAGCCCCAAAACTCTGCAGCCAGTACAGCTGCAAGAACTGCACCATGTCCAATGGTGAGGATACTGCACCATGTGCATGCACCTATTCCCAAAGTCACTCCATTCCAAATTAGCAGTTTCCGAGAACTTCAGTCCCTAAAAGAAAACACTGTATTAACATTTCCAGAACTATGGACAACAATTGTTGGATTTACTCACTCAGTTTCCAAGTGTCAGCTTTCTGTTAAGTGTCTAGACATGACAAGAGTAACCCACAGCTGATAAATGCCTTACATTGGTACTACAGTTCATTCCAAAGAGGTTACAGTGGGGAAGATTTCTTTTCCAAAAATTTCCACACATTTCCTCTCACTGGCAATGAGGATATTAACAGGCCAGAGACCATTCTGCAAATGCTGCTAAACTGCCAATATTTGTTTCCCCCGCACTGCCATCCCCTAAGTGGAAAGGGTACCACTCTTTAGCAGAAGAGTTAAGATTGTTCACTTCTCAGACCACACAAGACAAGCAGGCGCTGTGTCCTTCAGTTTCTAGCACAGCCCAGAGAGGGCATTTTTTTAAAGCTCTTATGTCCTTCTGTTTAAAGATTTGCTAATGAGAACTGAAGATCAGCTAACCCTAGTTACATTACTGATGCTAACTCTTCTGAAGCTCATTTGAATGAAAGGAAAGCTCCCAGACAGCTTAGATCAGCAAGTGCTCAGGCTTTAGGAGAACGAACTATATTTCTACAGTAACAGTCACTACATTTGCATTACTGCTGAGTCATCAGGGAGAGACATTTCAAAGTGCCCCAGAAGATTGCTATCTCCAAGCTTATTTTTCTATTACCAGAAGATTTTGGAACTCCTTGGGATTCCTTATGTGACTAAAGCAATCTAAGCTTCGACCACAAGAAAATGACAGCTTATCTGGTATGGCCTCTATGTCTTCTGTCTCAAAGGAGGAGGAAAGCTGTTTTACTGGATGTTTTTCAGAAGACGTTTTAAATCAACAGGATAGGAAGTAGGAGGGCACAGCTGCCCACTATTAGTGGCTTAAGCAAGACAATTTTAGTGACAGGTCTCATTTTTAGGATCTTAAAAAAAAATGCAGCTGCAGGTTCACAATATAGAGAACTCTCAAGCTTTCACATGCTAATCGGCTCCTTTCAAACTAACATTACTGCTGCATTTTACAAGAAGCAGAAAAGGTTTACCTACAGCTTACCTTCTTACTGTGCTCATTTTAAAGCATTAAGACACCTTCAGTGTAAATTTGTATTTCTATGATTTACAGTCATTCAGACCCCTATTAATCACCACTTGAGAGACACCAGATATGAAACCAGCAGAACAATTAACTACTAATGACAGTTTTAAAAGCAATTTCTTTTGTTTCTTTGTGGAAGATCCAAAAGCTAATCCATGACATAATGCAATTCTAATGCCAGCAATCTCCACCTGAGAAGAGCAGCATGCATTAATTATGCTTGCTTTCATGTGTTCGAGTTATGAAGCTGAAACTGAAGCTACTTATTCCAGTAGATGTCTGCAAGTTTTGATTGCCCCAAACCACAATAATGGAGCACTTAATTCCACCACTTCGGGTAACTTCAGTTATCCTGTTGAAGGTCAAGCCATTTAAAGCACAACAGTGGTATTCCAAACAGTATCTCAATTAATTTTCCACAAACAAGCAGTGATTAGATGCTGACTTTTCAAACAGACACAATAATCTCAGGGCTTTGAGGAAACTTTTGCCTTTAGAGCAAAGAAAGAAGGGAATTTGCTTTCGGATAGAGTCCTGTAGTCTGTGGAAGTAATTGTCTCCAGGAAGACATAACTCTCCATTTCTTCTATGGAGAAGACAGACAACTGTCTTTTATTGACAGTTACCTAAGTTTAAAACTTGACATAAAGCCAACAACTGAGACATTTGCCTCCTAGCAATCAAGAAACCATGCTGAAAAGCCTTACCTGATGGAGCAACTCACTTTTGCCCTTCATGACACACCCAGTAACAGTAGTACAAATTGAGCAGGTATCTTTGTACAAAACAAGGCAGAACACATTCCACAATGTTAGAACTTTTTTTTGGCTCTACAGTCTTACTTATATAGCTGGTTTCAAGACTAGATGAAATACATCTGAAAAAGTGGAGGTTTTGTCAGAAACCTTCTCAGTGTTTGGTAAGGAAAGCAATACTTCCAGCAACTGTGGTGGCATCAGGAAGCAGCTGTTATCTTCTCTGGGTTTCTGTTTTCTAACCACGAAGCAGACTACTGTTTTATGGCCATTCACATGCTTCACATGAAGCCTGTTACAATCAGCTAAATATTAACATCAGTAGGGATCTATCAACCTTACAGAATATCCTCAAGACTTTCAAATGGAATCACAGAAGCCTGCTCTGGACTTTCTTTGCTTTCTTCCTTCTCATATTTCACTCCTCTTTTTGGCCCACTGTTTCTGCAGACCCTGATTTTGTGAATGCCAAACATACCTTCTGCTTAGAATTCTAGAATGGTTTGGGTTAGAAGGGACCTTAACAATCATCTAGCACCAAATTCTATGCCACAGACAGGGAGACATTCTGCTAGACCAGGTTGCTCAAAGCCCCATCCAGCCCAGCCATGAACACTTCCAGTCCACAATCTCTTTGGGCAACCTGTTCTAGTGCCTCACCACCCTCACAAGAACGAGCTTATTCCTACTATCTAACTTGAATCTACCCTCCCTCCTCTTAAGGCCTTACCGAGCCTTTATGTTACAATCCCTCTACCATGCAGGCTCACAGCACCTCCTGCCACTTTATTTCTGAGACAAACAGATGCCCTCCTACATGGTTGCTCAACTTCAAACACCAGTTGCGATAGATGCAGGTAAAACAGCAAGCAATGGCTGTACTGAAAGGTTGCTCAACCACCTGTATGAGAAGAGCCCAATTTTATTTGTTCAGTTTAGCCAAACAGCCTGTCAGCCAGAGACACTTCAGCCTGCCCACTTGGGACTGGTTCCTGCACAGCTGCTCCTCGGGGCAGCCTTGTGGTTTCAGCTCAAGGTGCCTCGCTCGTCACCACGGCGCACACCGAAGCTCGACACGAGCTCTGAGCTGCCTAGGAGGTCACTTCAGCCCCATCCCCACGGCACTGGGACTGACGAGCCTTGGAAAAGAAGCACTTAATCACACATCCCCAGAGGTTCAAACGAGCAGTTTTCAGACTGCAACTGCGGCCGAGCTCGCAGCTGCCCGCGGCACAGCCAGGCTCCTTCTGCCCTT